GGGGCACGATCGAAGACGAAGAGGGCGGGCATCCAGGGTTTTAGATACACGTGTTGCATGGCACGCGAGCGGGTAAGAGCGAGCAGTCTTTAAATGTTGCTGCTGTTGTTGTTATGGTTGTGGTTGTTGTTGTTGTTGGTGGTGGTGGTGTTGTTGTTGGTGGTGTTGCTGTTGTTGGTGGTGGTGGTGTCGTTGTTGGTGTTGTTGGTGGTGTTGTTGTTGTCGGTGGTGGTGTTGCTGTCGTCCCCCCTCGACCCACCCGCGACCCACCCGCGACCCGCCCGCGACCCGCCCGCGACCCACCTGCGACTCACCCACGTTGCGCTGACAAAAAATCGGCACCTGCGGCGGGCTCGCTGTGCAATGTGCGAAAATCGGCACACTTGCAGTGTGTAAGATAGCTTGGCCTCGCAGACTGCCGACGACCCCCCCGCCCGCCCCCTCACTTATCCGGAGCTGCGGGGGCCATGGTATCATTGGTTTCTCCACACCTGCTCATGCGGCAGATGAGGTGGAACTGCTCCGCCGTCACCTCGGCGCTTTGGAGGTGGAGGCCCCGAGACATGGGGCCCCGGGAGGGGGAGGCCTTGAGGGGTGCAGGCTCAGCCTGGAAGGCCTTCTCCTGGCCTCGGGGGCCCCATCCCTCAGGGCCCTACCCTCGAACCGCCCGATCACCGCGTGCTCTTCGAGCCACTCTGGGTTGCAGTAGCTCTCGCACGTGCACAGGTGGTGGCAGCACAGCGCGATCAGGGCTCCGGCGACCCGCGGGGGGCGAGCGCCCTGCAGCAGCCGGACCTGCTCCCGCAGCGGCATCGCCGCGAACGCTTGCGCGCCGACGCGCCTGGCCAGCTCCTTGCGCGCGGCGCGCGGGATGTCCTTCAGAACGCCTGCCGCCTCCTTTCGGCGACTCCGAAGAGTGTGGTTCGCAACCGGCACCCGGAGTGGCAGGCGAGGACCTCGGCGGAGCTCTCCGCCGTGCCCCGAGGAGGCCCGACGAGGGCGACGTGGTGCCCCCCCCAAGATCGCAAACCACACCCTGGCGTAACCACACCCTTTGTAGTCGCCGATCCTCCTCCGTCTCGGGAGGCGCGACCACTGCCGGCGGCGGATCACGCGTGAGGCCTCCCGCGCAGAGGCTGCGCAGCGCGAAGTCCGTCGCGGCGCCGCACACGTGCTTCCCGACGCCCACCACGCGCTGGCCCTGCAACTCGGGCAGCCCCGGCAGCCACAGGTTTCGGATGTCTATTCGGAGCCTCAGGGCGAAGTCCTCGGTGAAGCGGCTGTCGTCCGTGTGCCGGCAAGCGCCGCCCTTGGCGCGGTCACGGTCCACCAGCACCCGCACGGCCTCGCGTGCGCCCGCCGCCTCGCGCAGCGCCCGAGTCAGCGTGCCCTTGCCCGCGCCAAACTCCACGGACGAGAGCTCGAGAAGCCCAGCGGAGCGCGCGAGCTCCGCGAGCGCGCGCACCTGCCTCTCTGCCGCCGCGGCGTGCGCCTGCGGCTGTCCGCCGAGTCCGCACCCGTGTGCCTCCGCCGCCGCCTCGCCGCCCGAGGCGCCGGCGCGCGGCGCTGCCTGCGAAAGGCGCGCGCACCAGGCGTCCATCTCGATCGCCGAGTCCAGCAGAGGCGCCAGTGCTGCTGGCGCCGCTGGCTCCGCGGGTGTGGGGCCGCAGTTCACGTCGCGCCGGTAGTAGGCCTGCCCAGCGGAGCACTCCATATAGACGTCCTCCAGCGACGTGGGGCAGTCTAGGCGCAGCGATGCATGCCGCACGCAGACGCCGCACCGCCCAGCGAAGCCCTTCACCTGGACGATCACGTCTGGCGCCTTGAGGCTGACTTTCTGCCCAGGTGGCAGTGCCGCTCCGATCGCGGCGAGGCACTCGTCGCGGCTCGGGTATCCAGCTCCGCGCCCATGCAGCCAGCCAGACTGGAGTTGGATGGCGAAGGTGGTCGGCTCAGGGAAGGCCGAGAAGACATCAGCGGAGCGCTGCCGCACCAGCTCCACCACAGAGGCCAGCGAGGCGTCGCACAGGGCGTCGAAGGGCGACACGCGCTTAACGTGCCTGAAGCCATCACCCGCGGAGCGCATGGCGTCGAAGAGGCGTTCCAGGGCAGAGGAGGAGGAAGTCCCTGCGCCTGCGGCCACCCGCGCCTCGAAGCAGGCCTGCCCCTTCGACGCGCCGCCCGGCAGGCTGCGCAGCTCCAGCTCTGGAGCATGCCTTGCGGCGGCGCCCACGAACTCGAGCTGAGCGCGCCGGCACTCGCTGGCCCCGTGCAGCGTGCTGAGCAAGAAGCAGCCGACAGCGGCCGCACCGCCGCCGCCGCCGCCGCCGCCGCCGCCGCTCGCGGTGGGCGCACCGCCGCGGCGACCGCGCGGGCGCAGGGGCGGCCACACTGCCGCGACCTGGCCCAGCACGCCGGCGAAGGCCGCTGCAGCTCTCCGGCGCTCGGCGCGCTGACCGTGCGAGCCCTCCAGCTGCGACTGGAGCGCGCAGCACAGGCG